GTTTTCATATTCCCCTAGAGTCTTAACTGCCCTATTGGTGTGGGAGGAAATAGACTATAAGATTGTACTGGGGTTTTTTTTAATAGAATTTATTATTTTTTTAGAGCAGTATTAGGTTTACAGCAAAATTGGTGGAAGATGTAGAGATTTCCCACATACCCCCTGACCCCACAATGCACAATCTCCCCTATTATCAACATTCCTCCACCAGAATAGGACATTTGTTACAACTGAAGAGTCTATATTCACACATTCACAGACAAGAGTTTTCTTTTCTGCCCTCGATACAGGCCTCCTAATCAATCTGTGGTTGGCTGTTTTGACCTCATTTGTCAATTCCTACACAATCAATTATGACCAAGGAGATATGATCAAATGAAACAAGGCCTTTCCATGATAGTGATTCCATCTGTGTCATCGTGGAATCTGGGGGAAAATCCTGCAGCAGATGGAAATTCTTTTGTTTTCTTTTTGTTTATATACATGCATCAAAATAATTTATTTCCAAGTAAAGATATTTTTAAAAGAATAACGATGCACATATACTCTTGTATCCTAGTTCCCACTCTCAATTCACTGAGAAAAGGTCATAGTTTCTGAATAAATCAAGTTAATCAGAGAAAAGAAAATTCCAAACTTGGTCTCCTCAGAGACTTAAAGTTTGCTAGAAGAGACAGGAATTTAGTTGGGGGTAAGGGAGAAAGTAGAACTGGAAAGGGTCCCAAAAATTGGCTTAAAGTATCATGATCTGCTACAATTATAATGATGTTTTACTCTAAACAGAAGATTTGCTTTAGAGAGATGATTAATTTACTGGAGGAGTTTATCTTTAGAAAGGTATTTACAAGGAAGGAAGAGAGAGAGGGAAAGAAAGGAGGGAAAAAAGAAAGAATGGAGGGAAGGAGGGAGTAAAGGAAGGAGGGAAGAAGACACGCAGGAGAGGATGAAGGAGGGGGAGGGGCAAAGAGAGGAGAACTTTAAGAAAGGACTCTCAAGTCTCTTTGCCCTTACCTTGGAGCCTGTGATAATAAGAATATCTTGCATTTAATTAACTCTCTTTCAATAGATTTCTCTACATTATCTCATTTTCCAATTCACACAGTAATCCTGACAAGTAAACAAAGCATATATGTTCTCTGTTCTCAAGAGTCATCTTGTTAAGCTATTTGCAAGTTAGGACAGAGTTTAGACAAAGCTAGGCCTCAGCCTAGGTCTCCTAATCCCCATTTATTCATGAAATTTTTATCAAGTAGCTAAAATATGGCAGTCACGATACTAGAACCTGAGAGTATTGCCAAATAAATCAATAACAAATAAATACATACATTTGCAAAAATAAAAAATTTACAAAAGTCCAGTGGGGGCAAGGTAGACAAATCAGCAAAATCATCATCTAATGCATACAGAAAATAAAGAGAGGACTGAGTGTTATAATACGGTGGAGAATGGAAAGACAGTTAAGAAGACTGAAAGTTTGAGAATGAGTCCTCTGTCAAAAATGTGCTTGGGCTGGATCTCAACGAGCGAGTCGAGTTCTGCCAAGTGGAGAAGAAGCAGGGAATTCTGGGCAGCATGAAAGGATGTGCAAATGCAGGGAAGTTGAAAAATAAAGTATGTTCAATGAGAATGATGCGTGGGAAACGTGTGGTGTGGGGAAGGTATGCTTTTATGGCATATCATATGTCTGTCCCTGATACAGTTTGTCATTTCAGTTATCAAAAAAAAAAAATCTCGTTGATTAGAGGGGAGTCCCACCCTTCTAGTGGTTAAGATCTAAAGTGAACTTGTAAGGTGAAAACCATGTCTGGTCCAAGACCCCTTCGTAAATACCATGTTAGGCACATCAGTTAGGCACATACATAAGTCCAGCACAGCTGTTTTTCCCTCAGCCTTGGAACAGACAGCAGTTTTTTGGTTGAGCTTCAGAGGAGCTCACTGGCTTGCATTTAGGACCATGTGTATAAAAAGAACACATCTTTAAAGAGTAGAATTATCCCATTCAGCATGGCACCATCTTCACACTGTGAGAAGGCCTCTGAGACAACATATGGAACAGCAGATTCACATACTGGGTCATGCTAACTCTGGGGCAGATGCTCATTCAGTGGAATAAATCACCTGCACTATTTACGTTTTTTTTTTTAACCCCAGTCTGTTTCTGTCCAGCTGTAATATAGTATTTGTGTATGTTAAATGAGCATATGATGTCCTCCACAGCATTTGTCTTAGACATTCATTCTTCACACAACAAATATTTATCACGTGTTGTCTATAGGCCAGTCACTGGTCCAGGTACTGGAGATACAAATAGTGATCAAAACCAGAAAATATAACTATAATAAATATTATGTTAAAGTAAATAATTACTAATCGAATGGGAAGAGAGGCAATGAGAATGAAGGGGAGTGGACGGGAAGAATTTCAATTTTAAGTAGGGTTTTTATGGTAGACTTCATTTGAGAAAGTGACATTTGTGCAGAAACCTGAAGGAGAAGAGCAAGTGAATCTTCTAGTTTTGGAAGAGCAGTCTAGAATCTCAGAGTCCAGAGGTAGAAGCAGCAGGACCAATTAAGAGACTATGGCAATAATCCAGGTGTAAGATGATGGTGGCTTAGACCAGAGCGGTAGCAATAGAGGCAGGGCGGTGTCAAACTCTGATTATAGGTTGAAGGTATTTCCCCTGGATGGAGATATAAATTTTGGGAAAATTTTAGCAAAAGAAATAAAATGATGTAATTAATTTTTTCATGAACGAATCAGGAAACAAGGAGATATTCATAGGCTGAATCTAAATCAACAAAGGAAAATATCAACATAGTATCTTGAGAGAGCAGATAAGTGTCTGTTAGCTATTTAATTCGTGTCACTGCACTGTCTTGCTGATCTGCAGCAAAGGGGCAAACCTCCTTCCATAGTTAAACAAGAACTGTCAATGACAAACACGAAATGGCTCATTCTCATACGAAGACAGCTTACTTGTAGGGAGGAGTAGATGGGAAGGATCATCAGTTCCCAGAGATACAAAAAACTGGTACGACAACTGTAAACAGGTTAGAACTATGAAATGTGATAAACTAAAAACTGTAATCAAGGTATTATTGTTTTGCAGGCATGCAAAATTTCATTTTTCATCATAGAAGTAAATAAAAACAAGAAAAACTAAAACCAGTGCACTGATAACACTCAAATGATAATGGTGCTTCAGTCAAGCTATCTGCACCTGGAAGGTGTCCTTTTCTTTTGCCTGAATCACCTCATTTGCTGCTCTCTCTATTCTTACATCTATTCCTCTTCCCCTGTTCTTGCCTCATTCAATTCCTCTCTTTCAAGGCTGTGGTGAGCAGCATTTTTCTTTGAAACAATGCCCTAAAAAGGCTATTTTATTATTGCTAACGGTGTTTCCATGACTACACTTTCCAACATCCTCTGTAATTTCTTTCTTTCTCTAACTGTACCTTTTCTCAATCTCATTAGGATTTCTTCTTCCATCTAGTTTGGGATCTGAGGGAGAGATTTGAAAAGAGAATTAGGTTAAAGGCGACTACTTACACAGGACCTGGAGTGTTCTGTACTCTCTTTCTTCTGGAACAGCAAAGCCATGAGTAGAGCACAACTCACTCCCATCCCCTTGCTCTTTTACAAGGTTAAATTCAATTTACGGTAAAAGGAGAAGGAAATCCATGTATTCATTTTCTACTGCTGCGTAGCAAATTAACACAAAACAAACTTAAAAGCTTGAACAACACAGGGCTGGCCCCGTGGCTTAGCAGTTAAGGGCGCGCGCTCCACTACTGGAGGCCCAGGTTCGGATCCCGGGCGCACCCCTATGCACCGCTTCTCCGGCCATGCTGAGGCCGCGTCCCACATACAGCAACTAGAAGGATGTGCAACTATGACACACAACTATCTACTGGGGCTTTGGG